ATTAATTTATTATTGTATTATTAAATGTATTTATTTATTTTTATATATAACATAATTATATATAGAGCAAATAAAACCCTTTTCCATCTGGGGTATTTGAAAAATTCCTTATACTTTAGCCCTTCTTGAGTCAAAAATTTTAACCCTGGTTTAAAGTATGTCAGAAAACGTAGATGCCCTAATTTTAAATATGCTGGATAAAATGGACACAAAAAATAATTATTATTTTAAAACATTGAACTACAGTATTCTAAATTATATGATGATGTTGTGGGACGACAAAAGACAAAACAAATTATAGTGGAATAATAACGTTTAGCATTGCACTAACTACAACTGGCCAACAAACTAGTTTAAAAATTACTTTTGCTGCTTAAGAAATAGATTACAGCATGCTGATGATATGCAAACATTTGAGTGTGAAGTTCATCAGTATTGACCATATTCTTTACGTACCAGCAGGCGCCTTGGAATCGTTTTCTTGAGACTTTTTTTACAGAATGAATTTTTAGATCCTGAAAACAGTGTAAAGACCCACGCACACCAAGATGTTTTTTTGCGTTTTCTGTCGACATTTAACACCTTGTGACTATATAAAGGGCGTCAATGTGATTGTGCACACCACGCGCAAATTGCCAGGCGTAAAAGCATAATTTTTAAAGAAACACCTCATGCGTTTTGTTTTTTATTTGATGCGCGGCGTTAAAACCTTAACTAATCAGGTTGGCACTTTTGTTCATGTGCACGGAGCTGCTGAAGTTACAGTAAACAGCACTTGGAGGCGCTCAAGTGCAAAACTGTCAATGCGAGCACACATTGAAGAAGATGCCCAGAGGCGATATCAACGTGGAGCGGCTTATTGCTCGGTGAACAATAATCATTTCTCCATCGCTGGAGCTGCTACTTGAACCATCCATGCTTGTTCTAGTCACTTGTAACTTTAAAGGGCCATGAAACCCCCCATTTCAGCAGGATGTTTGCATACCTCTAGTTTGGAAAAAGTCAGGAAAGTGGGTGTGTCTAGCTCTGATTGGGTGGGAGTGTCGGTGGAGGTAAAATGGGCAGGGTTTGAATAAAAATGCCTTTTGTGCACGTGCTTCTGACAGGAGAAACAAACACACACGCTGGGGAGAAAGACAGTGTGTTTAATGACAGTGAAATGTTTGATACCGCAGGTCATATAAGAGAAAAAAACCTCTTAACTTCTCTGTAACTCAGATGCACTCTGAAAGCCGTGTGTAGGTCACAAACCCCCGGGTTAACATTATTATTTGTATATTTACGTTGTCACTGTCCCTGATTGGACAAACTGTTGTTAACTTTTTTAGATGGCATTTCTGCATCTTGTCGGGTATATAAAATATCTTAATGTCTTATCTAAATGTCTTTATGTAGGTATTCATCTAAGCATCAGGACATGCACAAAGCCAAGAAAACAAAGACAAGTACAAGTGAAGTTTATTTATAAACTAATTTCGAGGATCACATGCTCATGATTGTTTGCAGCTGGTTTCGCATTACTTAATTTATGATTCACCAATCAGACGATTCCTAAACCACTATAAATACCCTGAGTTCCATATCACAGCCATCTTGGTTTCGAAGAATCCCCCCTTCCACCCTTACTCCTCCTTTCCTAGAAGGGTGGCATGATTTCCCAGTGGTCAGCACTGTTGCCTCATAGCAAGAAGGTTACTAGTCCTTACCAAGCCAGCTGACGTTTCTGTGCAGAGTTTACACATTCTCCCGGTGCTCACATGGGTTTCCTTCCACTGTCCAAAAACAGGCAACTTAAGTTACTTGACTAATCCAAATCGGCACCATAGACATACTCCTAGTAAGTAGTTATCTTTTAAGAGCAATCACTTTCTGTTCATTAGCTACTACAGAAGAGTTCTCGAGAACTCCCCTTTCGTCTTGCAAATGGGAGGGAAGCCCCAGGCTCGTTAAGTGTAAACTTTTGAAATGAATGAAATCAAGTAGTAAAGTATGTCATCTTGCCATCTCATCACTCCAGTTTACAGCAAACATGACATTAAGCATTTGCATGTGCTCATTCATTCATTTTCCTTCGGCTTAGTCCCTTTATTCATTAGGGGTCGCAACAGCGGAATGAACAACTAACTTCTCCAGCATTTATTTTAAACTGTGGATGCCCTTCCAGCTGCAACCCAGTACTGGGCAACATTTGTTATATAACATAATTTGTCAACAATAATGCAAACTCAGAAATATAGGCGTAAGTTATGTGTATTTGCTATGAACATGCAGTATTTGTCTCAATCAGGTCTTCCAAGCAAGTTACAAATGTTTAAATCCAGTGGAATGTAGGGATAGTTTACAGTTTAACCCAAAGAATGACCAGTCTGGTAGATGAATAAGAGCCAGAGTCAGAGATTTAAATAAATAAATCAAGTTTACTGAAGATAGTTTGCAGTTTCATTCGCAGAAGCCAGCTTCAACACTCGCAATGAGTTCCTAGGCCGCTCTGCTTACATTCACCAATCAATAACAATTATACTCTCACATAACGTCATTAACTGCGTCATACATATAGGTGTTCTAACCTGATTGGTTAAAACACAGATAGACTAGGAAAATTTCCACGTGGGGTTCGTGCGTACAATTCTGAACAATATCTTAAGCATAAATGTCACACATCCCCTAGACTGATTAGAGCTGGCTCCAGACCTGTGAAACGGATCAACAATCAAATAGAACACACACACATAAAGTATAATTTGTTTCTTATCAAAGGCTGAGTGTATTCTCAGGCGTCTTTATTGAGACTGTTTAAAAACCGATATAATCTACATTCAGGCAGTTATATTCTTACTATACAAAGTCTATCTTGAATAAAAGTGGAATCACTTTAAAAGATTTAACCGTAAAAATAACAAAATCACTTCAGACATTTTAAATAGTAATAACTACTAGAAATAACAATAGAAACAGTTGATTCCAGTCCTCAGCCCTCAGTTCCACTTAAGGTCTCCATGACCTCTGACCTAGTTTGCTGGCTTCTGAAAATAGTTATAAAGAGACAGGCAAATGCACTGAACATTCTTATATTAAGCAATGTGTTAACTTATTCATTAATTAAAATCAATTCAAAGTTAAATACTCATTCAAATAATCAAATAATTATATTTAATAAAAAAAAAAGAGAAACAAGATGATGAGAAAAGGATAAAGGTTGGTCCATGATGAGACAGGCTGGAAAGCAGAAATCCGGACCCTTCAACACACACACGTACACACAGTGCTGACTGCTCCTGCAGAGGATTCTGGGTAAATCTCTCGTCAGTCTTCAGCGCAGTTTCACTGATGATCCAGGATGAAGCCTAAACCCAGGGCAGAGCGGCTCAGTGAATGTGGTCTGGACTGAGTGGATGACCCTCATTGTGTCTCTATAGATGTTGTAGAAGATCAGAGTTCCTGCACTGTGATCCACTAGCACTCCTATTCTCCTGCTGAGCGGATCTACGGGGAGACCAGTGAGTGTGTTTTTGTGTATGAATTTGAAACTGGAGGAATCACAGTTCAAACTCCAGGATTGAGCATTAAATCCTAACCCACTCTCAACATCTCTTTTCCTCCCGATGCTCTTAAAAGACACTGATATATACACACGATTTCCAGTCCAGTCAATCTCCCAGTAACAGCGTCCACACAAACTCTCTCTGCACAACACCTGAGGATAACCATCAAATCTGTCTGGATGATCAGGATACCACTGTTCCTTATTCACACACTTCACCTCTCTGTTCTCCTCAGACAGAATGAGAATATTGTGTGCTGTGTTTGAATCCAGAGTGAGGAAACAGACATCTGAACACAAGAACACACACATTTATAATCACAGCTGTGTGTGTGTGCGTGTGTTTGTGTAAGAGAGAGAGAAAGGGTGTATGTGTGTGTATGTGTGCATTTGAGAGAGACTGTGTGTGTGAGAGACTGTGTGGGAGAAAGAGTGTGTTTGTGTGTGTGTGTGTGTGTGAGAGTGTATGTGTGAGTGAAAGAGAGAGTGTGTGCGTGTGTATGTTTGTGTGTGTGTGTGTGTGTGAGAGAGAGTGGGTGAGTGTCTGTATGTGTACGTGTGTGTGTAAGGCCGTACTCACACTAGGTACAGTTGCCTCGAACTGGGCCAAAGCACGCTTGTCCCCCCTCTCATCTCCCCCGACGGCCCGCACTCACACTACAATCGGGCCTCGGCACGCTTACGTCATCGATGTTGCGCTGTTCAGTGAGAAGCGCTCTCTCAGCAGCACAGTGGAGATTTCTCTAGTTATATCGTTTCAGTCGTTTGTTATGCAGTGACATGCAGTCAAATATTTCGCCACACAGTCCTTAGGGATGCGGTGACACGCAGTCAGATATTTCGCCGAACAGATCCGCCACTTTTGGCGCTCATAATCATAAAGCCCTCGTGCTGCAAGAATGTGGTCTGCTGAAGGTGCACAGCTGTCGTGCAGTGAGGGGTTTGTGTCTTTAATAAACTATGGCAGTTTGCGTTCACTGAACAGTAAGAATGATTAATAAATCTATATGAAACAGTCCCTTAAAGTCACTTCTCGCTCTCAGTTTCGGGCTTTGGCGCGTTTTGCTCTCACACTACAAACGTACCGCACCAAAGCCCAAGTGAACCGTGCTCAGGCCCACCTCTTCCAACCAGGCCAGGGCTGGCCAAGTGAACCATGCTTGAACCCGATTTAGCGCACTCACACTTCTCAAACGATCCGGGAAAGTAAATAGGGAAATGGGCCTGGGCACGGTACGGATGGCATAGTATGAGTAGGCCGTGAGTGTGTGCGTATGTGTGTGCGCGCGCAAGCGTGAGTATGTATGTGTGTATGTGTGTGTGTGTATGTGTGTGTGCGCGTGTGAGTATGTGTGTGTTACGACTTTTAAGTTTTGGTATCTAGGGTTTAAAAGGTAACATTTAAGGTGATAATATTTTGTGGTCAGTTGGTGGCAAAATATCAACACGACAACCCAAATACTGCAAAAATAAGTGAATTTATTTACAATAGTGAAAGGAAGTCAAAAAGCAATAAAGTATTATTTACAAGATCTCACAACATACAATAAATCAATCAATATAGATTAAAGATGGTGGGGGAAACGAGAGTTAAGTGGCGCCAAACAAATGAAAGAAATATAACAAAAACCCCAATTCTAACTAATAATTACCCTCTAAACTGTCTAATACAAAATAAACAAACAAAACATCTTCAGCGTATTCACGCTATAACTAATCTACTCTTCTAACCAAATATACGGAGAAAACTTACAGCGGGTGGCGCTCACTTCTAAACTAGTGTGTTTAGACAGTGGAGTTATCTGCGTGATGCAATATGTATGTCACGTGACATCTAAACTCCTCGAATCCAAGGGAAAGGCTGAAGACAGACGTCAGGGGATTGTCACATATACACATCCAAGACGGTAACAGCGATCAACACAAGAACAAGACCAAAATCAAAACTAAGTTCACGTCAACATCACAGCACATAACAACAAGCCAAAAACACACACAAAGGCAAGCAAAGACCGCAAGCAAGGCAGAGCAAAAGCAGAACGAGCTTCCCCGCTCGCATCCCTTTTAAACTTTGAGCTCCTGTGCTGATTGGTTGTGAAGGTGATGACGTCACAAGGTGTAATTGAGATTGACGTCTTCACAGACGAATGGGATACTGGAATGGGCGAACCTGAGAACTGACAGAGAGAGGAGGAGGGAGCAAGCGAGCGAGCAAGAGAGGGAGAGAAAAAGAGCGCACACACACAAGCAAAACAAACAGGCATATACATATGACTGTAACACCCTGACCCTCAAGAACAAACCTGTTTGTTAAAATAAACCAGAGAGAGAAAAAAAAATTAAGCTCTAGACAGGGCATCCGCCATAACATTATCAATGCCTTTTTTATGACGAATATCCAAATTATAATTCTGGACTAGCAGAGACCATCTCATCAGTCGTTGGTTATGATTGTACATCCTGGATAGGAATACTAGAGGATTGTGATCCGTATATACAATCACAGGTAAACAGCTGGAACCAACGTAGACCTCAAAGTGTTGCAAAGCAAACAACAGAGCAAGGGTTTCCTTTTCAATCGTAGAATAATTGAGCTGATGTTTATTAAACTTACGAGAGAAATAGCTCACAGGATGGTCAATACCAGTTTCATCCTCCTGAAGAAGTACGGCACCAGAACCTACAGCACTTGCATCAATCTCAAGCTTAAATGGTGATGCACAATCAGGAGCAGCAAGAACAGGTGCATTACATAAAAGTGCTTTCACACTATCAAAGGCACTTTGACAAGCATCAGACCACACATATGATGTAGAAGGGCTAAGCAAAGATGTTAAGGGGTTAACCACAGTAGAAAAGTTTTTGCAAAAACTTCGGTAATAACCAGCCATACCCAAGAACCTCCGTAGTTCTCGGCGAGTGGTGGGGACTGGAAACTGCGAAATAGCGGTTACTTTCGCATCTACAGGGCGAACTTGACCTTGTCCAACCTCCTTGCCCAGGTATGTGACAGTCGCTTGGCCAAACTCACATTTAGCTAAATTTAGTGTTAGAGATGCGTTAGAAAGTCGTGTAAATATTTCTCTTAACGAATGCACATGATCACGCCAGCTCATGGAGTAAACTACTATATCATCGAGATACGCGCTACAGTTTGGTATGTCGGCCAACACTGTATTTACTAGACGTTGAAACGTCGCGGGTGCGTTTCTAAGACCGAAAGCCATCGAATTGTATTGCATGAATGAATCTGGAGTGACGAATGCGGAGATGTCAGAAGCTCTATCAGTAAGCGGAATTTGCCAATATCCCTTTAGCATGTCTAATTTAGAGACAAAACGCGCAGAACCGACATTGTCAACGCAGTCCTCCATGCGTGGTAAAGGATAGCTGTCTGGGACAGTGACTGCGTTAACCTTTCGGTAATCAGTACAAAATCTGTACGTTCCATCAGGTTTTGGCACCAGCAAACACGGTGAACTCCAAGGGCTACTGCTCGGTTTTGCCAATTTATTTTCAAGCAAGTAGTTCACTTCTTGACGCATAATAGATCTTTTAGCCATATTCAGACGATATGCGTGCTGCTTTATTGGACGTGCACCATCCACATTAATATCGTGTTTTAACACATTTGTTTGGGTTGGAACATCACCAAACAAACAGTTAAAATCAGATATTAACTTAATGATATCTGTTTTCTGATCAGCAGGCAAATGTTTGAGATAGGAATTTAGATCACTCAAAATTTCTGAATTGACTAACCTCACAGATGATTGGGGAAGGTCACGAAGAATTACACCATCATCAGCATCTGACATCACAGCAGAAGTCTGTTCCGCAACTGCAACAACAGTGGGAACAACGGATTCTGGCTTTGAAACCGGGGCATCCTTACCTGTCTCTTTGGAATGGTATACTTTAAGCATATTAATATGACATACACGGGTTTGGCGTTTTCTATCGGGTGTATGAATCATATAATCCGTCTCACTCAGTTTCTTTTTTATTTCGTACGGACCGGCGAAACGAGCAGAAAGTGAAGAACCAGGTACGGGTAAAAGTACGAGAACCTTATCTCCAACAGCGAATGAGCGCGCAACAGCCTTTCTGTCGTACTTGCGCTTCATCCCTTTCTGCGCACTGGCCAAAGATTCTTTAGCCAGTTTACACGCGGAGTGTAAACGATCACGGAATTGACTAACATAATCTAATATGTTAGTTTTCTTACTGGTTTCAACAGACAACATGCGTTCTTTTAGTACTTTTAACGGACCTCTAATTTCGTGAGAGAACACTAGCTGAGCTGGGCTAAATCCAAGCGATTCTTGAATTGTTTCTCTCGCAGCAAATAAAACCAAAGGGACTCCTTCATCCCAGTTCTTATCTGTACTCAGGCAGTATTTGCGGAGCATGGACTTAAGTGTCTGATGAAAGCGTTCAAGCGCACCCTGACTCTCAGGATGATATGCGCTTGAAACACGATGGGTGATGTCGAGTGATTGTAAAATTTGCTTAAATAGCTTCGATAGAAAATTCGTACCTTGATCGCTTTGAATGATTTTGGGCAGGCCAAATGTAGAGAAGAATTTTATCAGAGCTTTAACAATCACAGGTGCGGTGATTTTTCTCAGGGGAACAGCCTCTGGAAACCTAGTTGCGGCACACATTTGTAGCGTACAGTCCACAGATTAAATTTCTTATTGATTTTATCACGGTCTGGCTTTGGTCAGAAGGTTTTACGACTCCTGGCTCCAAGAAGTCTGGATTTTCGTGACAGCTTAAGTTGTTCAGGGGAACTGGAGAGATAAGCAGGAAAGCTTCAAAGACATTCCTGCCCAAATACGCTCACACACGCACACACACACCCACGAGGCTGTTCCGACAGAAAGAAAATGAACTCATCAAATCCAGAACCAGCACAAAACCAATGTGTTATGTTTTGTAAACTTTGTATCTAATTTCTGACTTTTCTTACCTGTGTAACCTCTCTTATAACCTGTATGCATGTTCCATTTAGGCCTTTGTAAAGCATAAATATTGTAAGGATATGAAAAATTATGTCGATGTACTTTTAAAACCCCCATGTTTGGTACCGATGGGTTTCTGCTGACATTTTACAGCACATGATGCATAGAGAAAAACCATAACTAGCATTGCCTTATTCTTTAATCCCCTGTATTAAATGCCTGTCCGCATGCTTTGGGCGGACACTCAAATTTGCATACGAGGGACCTTGAGACAAAGAAAGGGTTCGCGCGCAAACTTTCCCCTGAAATCATTGGTCTTAATGCTGTACGGGTCGTCACGTGACCCGCAGGTATAACTCATTCTGCCCTCCCAAACATCTGGGCAGAAAGAGAACGTCCCAAAAAGGAACATCATTGACGGTGGCCCTCGGGCCACACGTGGCTTTCTAAGCCGCATGGACTTTTCCCGCCACGCTTTCTTTATTTTCCGGCAAAGTAAATTCAGTTTAAAGTTTGCGATCGTGTTCGTCCGAACTGCATTACAAACTCCACGCATCAAAGGACATCAAGAGTAGTTTCATCACGACGGAAGAGAGACGCATAAGAGAGACCGCCAGACATGAAAGACCAGGTGATTTTAGTTATGCGATTAAGCTGTGCCCCTTATCAAAAAGGTGTTTTTTATAACCTTGGTGGTCCGTAATGGTGCGTGTGGAACTGAAAGTTTTGTCACTCTTTAATCTGAAATCTATATTTTCTAGCTTTACTATTTCTCTTTGCTGTTACACGTTCTATAGACCCGATATCTCCACGTGGTTTACCTTTGTTTTGTGTTAAATGTATGTTTGTGCGTTTGTTTGTTCGTTACGTCTGACTAGTCAATAAATTCCATTATAATCAAATGAATTGTATTGTTTGCCTCACGAGAAAATGTCACTGAAATACAGATTCCTCTGCCTAGCTATTATAAGTTGTTTAAAACTTTTGAATGATTAATCTACTTCACAAGAAGTAGCAATTAAATTCCCTTTTTCTAAATGAATAAATTACAGTGTCCGCTCGGAAGAGCGGCGGCTCTGCTTGTGTTCGTTTGGTCAAATTAACAATAAATTGATCCGGAATATTAATGATTAATAATAATTCGTTATTGTTGATAATTAATATTCATAATCTGGGAATCCGCTCGGTCGCGCGAGCATGATCATTTACAATCATATGTTTGTTTGACCAAACTGACTGAAGCTTAAGCCGGAATATTAATAATTAAGAATAAACCGTTATTGTTGATTATTAATATTCATAAAATGAGCTAATTTCATGCTACATATATTGGTGGAGAATGCGGGCAGTTTTCCAAACATTTTCTGTGAAACAAACTTTCCAATTCATTGTGATTTATTAAGCGCTATAGAAAAAAAAAGGACCGCGAGAAGCATTTCCTTTTCTTTGAAACTGGGAGGACGAAAATCCTGCTCCAGCTATTCTGTTCACTAAACACAGCAGAGAGCTGCCCGTGTAGAGTGTAACAATTTCATCTGCAGTTCATATATATTTTAAATCGATTTTGCTAAGACGCACGTTCCGCAAATCATTTAAATATATTAGTGTGCCTGTCGGAGGAAAAGACACCTCTCTCAGCGCTTGTAAGACAGTTTGGAAACCCCAAACCTGTCCGTTTTAAAGGCCTTCTTATAGCTAGAAAACCTCTAGCCTGTTTCTCCCGTGGTTTCAAACTGTTAGATTAGCTGCCTAACGTTAAACCTCTTTGCTTCGCCGCCGTGCGAAATTAATTTCAGAACTGCTGGACGGTTCTAAATTAATCTATTTGGGAGCTGCAAGCTTGCTTGTTAACCGCTTTCTGACGAAAGGAATTCTCAGAACCATAAGCGTGTTTTAAATGGTACCGAAATCTGATATGGATGTGAATTCCCATATTTCAGTTATGTTCGTCCGGACCAAATATGTGTACAAACGTGCACCGCCTCGAGAGACGTCTCGCATTTTATGTTTGTTTGTCTAATTGTAATGGTCGAATATTATTATCAGTGTTACGGCAACATGATATAATGACCGTTTATGCGAATCTTGGTGGTTCGCGCTTTGCCTTTGCGAAGTCAGCCGCATACCAAGTTATGAATGAGAGCTTCTCCCATTCATCAATCCGCTCTTCGAGCGCTCATTGACTCCTCGTCCACGTAACTCGTGCGCGCGCACGCATGCGTGAATGACGTAGTCACCACCCCAAAGCATAAGATCCGCCTTTCAGGAGGCAGAGTTGGTGACGCGGTTTACTTCACAGGGCAAAACCACTCGCTAGCTTCTAACGACTAGCCTTAAAGTAAACTAACCCTTCGCGTCTTAATATTACCAAACTGTTAGCACAAGGCTAACCGGATGCGAAGCGTAACTCGTAACAACTTGCTAGCGGCTAACGCCAGCTAACGTTAATGCTTAAGCAAACCAACCCTTCACATTTTGTAACTAACAAACTTTAGCACAAGGCTAACCGAATGTGAAGTGCAACTCGGAAACATCTCCCCCTGTCTCCTTCTGCTCTCCTCACATCAGTTCCGCCCACCATTGTGTCTCAAGTGGTCTGAAATGGTCAAACAGTTTGGAGTTAATTTGTTTTAATTTCGATTGAGCATTTTATTTTCCCTGTTATCATTTTATCCAAACAATAGTTTAGTTACCTGAGTATAGATTATTGGTCTGTTTATTTCTTTTGGTATTATGAATTATTTTGTTACTTTCAATTTTTTTTTATTAATTTTCTGCCTTCTGTCTTTTTTCATTTTAATACCGGTGTCCAGTTTATTTTGTTATTACTTGATTTTTAATCAAGTTCCCAATAATCTATTCTAAACTTAGGTCATGTTTAATTTTAATTTTGTTGGTTTTGCTATTTGGGGAATAGCCTTTAATCTCTCTATTATTATCATTAATAGGCATAATTTTTCTTCCCTTTTGATTTTTTTTTACTCCATTTTTTCCTCATGCCTTATTTCTTCCCTCACCTCTTAGGTTATAGGGAAAGTATAACTATATTAGGGCAAGTATTAGTCTGAAGCTAAATGCAGAGCTATCAATCTATAGATCCCACATCTGATCAAAACATGTGGGGCTAACCCATTAATGTTTGTAGATGCCCCTGAATACTAAGGCACTCTTTCTACTTTTTCTAAGCCGTCCTGTACTGCTTTTACCAATAGGGGATTATTATGATTATTCTTTTAGATTCTTTTATGCCGATTTAATTTTCCTTTAGCCTCCCTCCATCACAGGGTGATAACCTTCTCTATCCATCAGATACTACAGCATACTAAGATTCCTACTCCAACTGGCTCGCCCAGAATAGTAGATCCATAGTACTGCCCGTATCCGGACCCGAGTCCTCTGCTTGTGTGGTTAAGTGTACAGGTTATTCAGGTTGCAGATCAAAAGATTGGGTTCATCTGTCTGACATAACTGACCCCTGCCGAAGGATGCGTTAGATACCTTGGCGTTTTGTCTCTCCGGCTTGTGTGGATCACAGTGGCATCAGCAATCGTACTCCAAGAAGCACCGTCCGTGTCAACTGGCATACGATCAATCTTGGTTAATTACCTTGTCATGATTCCACACACGTGCCCGCCTGAGTGAGATTGGCCACCTCATTCTACAGGCCTAGAGCGGCACCGGAATCATCAGGCAAAACCCAATTTTGAATCGTGCCAGGCGGTCAGTGACTTTCTTGAGTGCTACATATTGTGCTAAAAGCCTACGCTGTGTGAGTTCACAACCGAGCTACATTATAGGCAAGTGATCTGATAGCGACTGCAGTAGGAGTTGGGGAAAGTCTAGTCAGATAGCACGCTCTTGCGACCTTCATCTGATTGCCTTTCACTCATCCACCAAGTGTAAATAGCATGTAAAACCTAGTCTAAACCTAGCCCACTACAGGACTATAAAACGAACATTTTAGACATGCCCATAGGTTTTGCTATTCTCTCTCTCTCTCTCTCTCTCTCCCTCGTTTCTCATCCTTGTCTGTCTTTCAGTTTTATTTTTATTCATATTTACTGATATCCATATTAGTATTTTCTTTCATTTTACTTTCCCTGTACACTCGTTCATCCGAGCGAGGTGCCTTTTTGTCTAACTTATCGTTAGTATTATTCATTTTTGTTCTTGGGTTACTGTTATTTTTATTTACTTAATTATTTTTAGTTACTTTGACCTGCTCAGAGACCACGCCATTGAGAACCACCAGGGTGATTTAAATAATTGATTGATAATTTGCACAGCCTGGCGCATGACTAAAAGCCTTGAGGCCAGTACGTAGATATCAACTGTTATCTAGCCACCCAAATTCGATATCTGAATTGTCCGGCCCCCAGTGGATCCTTAGAAGGACCAACGTCTAGCCGGCACATACCCCCTAGCTGACAACCCTGTCAGACTAATAATATAGCACAATGCTAACATCCACTCGATTTGGCCATGTGGGTCTCTCTCTCTCTCCCTTGTGATCTCTGTCTCACCCAACAGACCAGCATGTCAAGTGCGCCCAGCCCGCTTCTCACTGGGACCAACTGGAGGCCTGGTTAAGTGCTTAACCCACAACCTCCTGCCCAACGACGCCATGGAGCTGCAGCGGCCAAGCAGAGAACAGCTGGACGTCTGCATTAATCCGCTGAGGGCGAACGACCTAGCCCGGA